AACCTTCCAAGAGAGTAAAGCCCTGAACAAGGATAAAGGAAATTGAGCTACCTCCTGTTCCCCCACTCTCCCAATCTGAAATCCACCATCAGGGTGGCTGGAATGGGGTGAGTCGGAAGGATCCCCGCACTGACTGCAAGACTGGCTCCTGTGGGGCCAGTGGATACAGATCCCTGAGCCATGCTTTCAGGCCAGACTCCTCTCCCAACCCAGCCAGGCCAGGTCTGGGGGTGGAGCGAGGGAGTGAGGGAGCTGGAGGGGTTGGGGTCTGGAACAAATAGCAAAGTCAGCTCCAGGAACAGCTGACATTTATTGGGTGGCTACGCAGGCCAGTTCCGTGTGTTACATGCATTTAAATCTTCACAACAGTTTTTGAGAATTACTCCCATTTTACAGACAGCGAGTTCATCTTCTATTAGAAGCAATGTTGCTTGGATTTGAACCCAGGCAGCTGGGTGCCCCCAGAGCCCACGCTTCAGGGTCTGTGTGATGGTGGCTGGCTGGCAGAGAGCCTTGTGCTGAAGGCCATGCTGATGTGAGATCCTAACGCCGGGCCCCGCCCCCAGCTCGCAATACCATGTATCAAATATTGGAGGAATAAATGAGAAAACAAATGTCTGCCAGTCCATGAGTTAGACGCCGAGGTGTCTGTTGAATCCTAGACTGAGCCTCGACGAGGCAGGTGGGATCCACTGTGGGCCTGTAACTGTGTGGATGCCCGTCTCCTCTGCCTGCCGCCCGGCAAGCCCCAGGTCTGGGTGAGTGGGTCGTGATGAAAGCAGCCGACCTGGAAGACAGCCAGGTCTCCATCCCCACCGAGGGGCAGAGAAGAGGGGTTCTGTTTACAGTGGGATAGGGCCACTGTCTGCTTGGCTGGTGCCCCAGCCCCCTGGGGACCCGCCTTTTCCAGCCTAGTCCCTGGACCCCACCAGAACAGAGCTGGTCTCCGCACCTCATTATCTCTGTCTCCCGGGAGACCAGACCTTACAGCCCCGGGGAAGGTGCTCATCTGTCGGTTCCTCCCGCCAGACCTGGGTGGGGGAGGGGAGGGAGGAACTGGGTGCCCTAGGAGGGGCTGCCGCTGGTATCTGGGGAGGGAGGGCGCCAGTCACAGAATTTGCATCTTCAGGCACCTAAGCCCGGGCTGATTTCCCAGTGAAATGAGAATGAGGAGTGTGGGGGGGAGGGGAGCTGACCTGGGCAGAGGACCTTGGTCTCAGAGCCGCCGCTAAGGCGCAGCAGGACTGAGCAGCAAAGCTGTTCCTGGGGCTCTCTGGGAGGGAAGTGTCACTTCTGGGGATTCTCAGGGCCTTTCTCTGGGATGGAAACCTGCAGTTTGAGCTCAGGACTGGGTTTGAGGGTTTCCGTGTCAGATAGATCTGCATGTCCCCATAATGTGACGGGGATCTGAGGGAAATATGCCCGAGTGAGGGATTCTCTAGGATTTCGGGTCCCTAATGGGATGGGTATTTTGACCGATTGTGGTGGAGGATCCGGAGGATTTCCCGTGGAACTGAAGTCCCTACATAGATGAAGGCTTGGTGGGGTGGGGCAGGGGTCTCCATGAGGCTTTCAGGTTTCTGAGGTGTAGATTTGGGGATGCCAGGTTTTTGTCTACCTAATTTCCTTCCATGCCCAAAGGCAGAGGCTGAGGATGTGGAGGAGGTAGGGGTGAGGGTGCTGAGCTGGCAAACAAAGCCACCTGTGCATCCATCCTTCAGGAAGCTCTGAGCCACAACTGATCTGGGAAAACAAACAGGACCAGCTGCTGGGGGTGGGGGTGGGGGGCGAGGAAGAGGTTGAACGGAGGGAGATTGGGGGGCTGGACCAGCCTGGTAGACAAAGGAGGCCGGGATGGGGGGGTACTACAGAAAAGGGACAGGGATCCCAGAGTCCCTTTCCAGCACACGAAATAGGGCTGCCTGACAGACCCTTCTGGCTCTTTCCCCTCTGGGGCTCATTCTTCCCTTTCTCTTGACCCCGAGTCGCAGAGCCTGGGATGGGTACGGGAGGGGACCTCGCCCTCAGAGAGCCCTAGAGGTCTTTGGGCATCAGGCTGTGCTCTGTGAGGGTGCCGGTGCCCATTTCTGAGAACTGCTGGACCCAGACAACTAGAACTAAAAGCCATAGACTATAGAGCAGGGGCAGGACCTGCACCGTGTCCTGATGAGGAAACTGAGGCCCAGAGGAGGGGAGAGGCTGGTGAGTGCCCCGCAGCTTCTGAGTGCGGAGCCAAGACCAGAAGTTAGAGTTCCTCCTCCCACACGGGGTCTCCACCCCAACCTACCCCCACTACGCCCCCCTAGCCTTTGCTATCTCTCTCCCCGCTCCCCAAACCCCCCCACGCACTTCCTGCCGTGGCCGTCGTTTGAACACTGGGACTGGAAACTGCGCTCGCAGGTGGGGCCGCGACCTCAGTGACCCGCCCAAACCCCCAGCCCAGAGGTCCCGCAGATACGACGTGCAGCTTCTGACGGACAACCACGCACCCTGGAGACCATCACCCTGGACCCCCGTCACCGACCCCCGCCAGCACCCAGCCTGACTCACTCTCCACCCTTCGGACCTCAGCCTCCCACCGACGCCCCCGAGCACCCGGCCCCCCGCGCCCGCGCTCCACCCCGCGCGGTCCGCTCGCGCCCCCTGGCGGCCCAGTGCAGAATTGACGGACAGAGGTGGAGAGAGAAACCGAGAAAAGGGGTTTCTCCACAGACTCGACCTGTGAAGCCCAGGCCAAGGGCCGAGACACCAAGGGCCCAGGACTGGATAGTTTGTATTTCCACTTTATGTTTTTCGGGGGAAATTTACTCTATTTGTGTTTGTCTAAACCCACTCTAGTTAGGGAGCCAGAGGGCTGGTCATGGTCTGATCCTGTACCCAAGTAAACTTGGCTGTGGTTGTCCCTGCTCTGACTTGCATCCTCCTAGTTTGGACTTTACGCCCCATATTCTCAGGCCTTGTACTCTTGGTACTCAGCTTCGGATATGTCACCCTCAATAGCACTCCTCGCCCGGAAAAAGACAGAGCTAAGGAAGACTCCAGTTGCACCCCCTACGCTCCCAGCTGCACCCAGAATTTCAAGAGTGGGGAATTCAGTAGGATAGGCAAACCACCACCCCTCCACTCTCACTGGAGCACATTCTCTGCGCCCTTCCCCATGGATATTTGGCCCAACCTAAACACTCTGTTAATTCATTCATTCACAGAGTTTATTGAGCATCTACTGTGTGTTCCACACTGGCTAGCTTTGAGGATAGCAATTGAAAGCAAGGCTGACACAGCCCCTGACTCTTAAGCGGAGCTTACACACCAGTAAAGAAGGCATCAACATACCCATAAACACCCACAAACAGAAGATGAAAAAGACAACACTACAGAGTGATATGCACTATAAAGAAGAAAGAGGGTGATGTGTTGGGACAGCTTCACCCAGGAGATAGCAAAGGAGCCACCACACCAAGATCTTGTGACTAAGACACCCCAGGAAACTGGAACAGCAAATGCAAAGGTTCTGAAGACAGAATGAGGTTGACACTTGGAAGAAGGAATAGGCTTCTCAGAGCTGAGGTAGCTGCATTTAGCCTTTGAGGCCTTTTAGTCCCAGGAGACCAGATGGCTCCAGCACCGGCTTTAGAGTCGTTCTAGGGGCCTCCCTGGTGGCACAAGGGGTTGAGATGCAACCTATGAAGCTGTCTGGGAGCTACCCAAATGGCGCAGCAGATGTCTCCTGACATGCCTGCTGCTCCCCTCAGCAGTGTATTTCAGTCAGTCTGCCTGTTCTGCCTCCTACTCTGTCTCTGGTGATTCCTCTCACCCCCTGCACCTCTGGCCTGTACCTCAGTTCTTGTATGCATAAATAAATAAATCTTGTATGCATAAACAAATAAGTAAATCCTTAAAAAAAAAAAGAGTCGAAAGGTCTAAATCCTAATCTTACTCTGACACTGCTTAGTGATGTGAATTTGTAAAAGGCCCTGCTTGAGCCTTGAACCTCAGTTTCCGCATCTGTATACTCGAACTACCTCATTGGATTGTTGAGTCTATAAAGAAAGCACACTTGACTCACCAGAGCAGCAGTTACTCTCCTTCTCAAGCACCCCTCCACTCCTGCTGGGAGACTCCCTCCCCTATTAAGGAAAACATAATTTTGCCAGAAGCCTTCTGTATTTTTGTCAGCTATGGTGGTTAGAGAATTCTGCTGCATATTGTGGGGATATGTCCTCCCTGGAGCTTCCCTTGGAGCCCCAAGACTTTCCCATTCCCTCTCCCACCCTTCCCACCACGCACAGGCCCAGAGATTGGGGGCAAGAGCTTAAGATCTTCAGTCAAAAGAAAAGCTCAGGTTCACATTTCTACTAGGCCATTTCTCAGCTGTGGCGCCTCTTCGACCACGGTCTGGAATTTTTGTGGGCCTCTGTTCATCTACCAAACGCAGGAGAGTAATCGTGCCTACCTCACCGGGTCGTTGCGAGAGTTAGCTGAGATCATGAACCTAAAAGTTCTGAGAAGAGCAGTTGGCCTGAACCAGGCCCTCAGCAATCTGCTGCTAACTCCCAGGCAGACGTCGGACTGAGTGTGCTGCCCTTGGGGCTTTGTCTGGCGGCTGACGGAGTCGTAGCTCACTCCCGCCTAAGGCTGAAACGTCTACCTTTTCATTACCGGGAGCTGCTCCCCTAGTTGCTGTTATTTCGAAGCACTTGACAAAATCCAACCTGCCGCCTTTCACGGTCCCTGCGCCGCCTTGCGGCAGGTGCTGTCCACGGCGCGCTGTCGGCCCCTCCTCGCTGGAGACTCCCGGGGCGCAGCGCCTGGTCGGGCGACTCCCATTTGAGAGGAAAGGGGCCGCGACAGATCGGTCTTCCAGGGGAAAAAGGGCCGAGGGGCGCGAGGAAAGTCGCTGGCGGAGAGCATTCTCTTCCTCCGCCCTCGTGTCACCCAAAAGAGGGTCTCGACCTAAGAGATTAGACGTCGGGAAAGAACTTGGGCGCCTCGAGGGAAGAATGTGCCGTCTTAGCCCAGTTGGGGATCCCAGAGTGTCCCGGTACCTCGTCCCCGAGGGTCTGGACCAGGGTGGGCGAATTCTGCCCCAGGGTCAGGTGCGCCTTGCCGGGCTGCGCGCTTCCCCGCCCCACAAAATAAACAGCAGTCAACCTCGGCTCGACGGGGCGCGACTGTACCTGGGCAGTTTCCACTGTAATCCCTGAGGGCTGCGGGAAGGGCCTCCGGCTCACGGGGACACCAGAGCTGACAGACGCCGACCTGCTGACTCAGCTACACACCCCCCCCCCCCCCCCCCCGCTCCAGGCCGCCCTCCCGCAGCCTCTCGGTTTCCCGGCAGGACGGCGCTCACAGCCCGCTACACACTCACAGCTGGGGCGGGTTTCATTTAGAGGAGGCGGGAGGGAGGGAGAGCCTCCAGCAGCCCGGGTCCAGCCCCTAGGTCCCCCATCCCCTCAGCGGGTGGGGCGGGCCTCGGCCAAAGAGGGGTTCACGAGGCACCGAGCGTTTGGTACCTTTCTTTTTGCCGGCAGCGGCACGAGCTGTGCTCCCGCGACGGGCTAAGCCCCCGCCTGCCTCGCTCTCTGGGAAGAGGCGCTTCCAGGGCCATGGATGCCCACTGCGGAGCGACTGCGCGAACATGGAACATCAGGGAGCGCGGAGGTCTGCGCAGGGTGCGCTCAGCCAAGGTGGAAAACGGCGCGTGAGCGATCGCTGGCTGCACATGGACTGAGTTGGGAGGCAGAGCGCTGTCCTGGCCCAACTTCAGCTCCCAGCCCTCGGTTCCCCAGACTGCAACCCCCGAGAGAAACCCACCAACATGGGAAAATCCTTGACCTCTCAGAACTCCTCAACTACTGCAAGGCAGATCGTAGGAATGTATCATGTGTGAGCTGAAGGGATAAAGGAGAGAAAGAACACTGGCTTCGTGGGGCCAATCTGAACCCCAAAGGGGTTCCCAATATAGTTATATTCTCTCTGAAGTTTTTCTCTGTAGAGAGTTAGATGGTTTTGTGCTTCGTTTAACACCAGAAACAAATCCCCGCTGCTTGTTCCACCTGGTCTCCTGGAGCAGAAGGTGCTGGGGAGAGTGGAAGCCTCTGGGATATTTGGGGCTTCTGCCACAGCCTGGGGGCCTCCTATACTTACCTCTGCAGGTCCCTAAACCCTTAAGTTAGGAGAGTGTGGTCAGATGATCCTCATAACCTGGAAAAATCCTACCAACCTGCGCCCCTGAACTGAAAGCTTGGGCGCTCAGACTGATTTAGGATCTTTAGCCTCTAGAGGGGCTGAACTGTCATGTGACAGGTACATGGGGAAGGACTTGGGGTTGGAGGGGAATAAAACGATTCTTTTTGATCATTGTAAGCAAAGGGAGGAGGAGAGAGGCAAGCTGGGGCAGATGTCCCTTAGTCCCCTTACCCTTCTCTGGTTAGGACACTTTTAAGTATCCCAATTTCCAGGGACAGTAGTTCATCCAGGAGAAGGGAACGATACTCACTGGCATGCTTGGAGTGGCAGTAGCAGCCACCACAGTGGTCAGCTGCTCTCCTACTGGCCAGTGCTTTGTGCAGTGATCATAATCCCTCCTCTGCCCACCCCACTCCCTAGTTCCTAGCTCCATGCCCCGGCCCCATAATGGCTCCCCAGGAAGATCATCCAACCACTGTGTGGGGTGTGTGTGGTAAACACAACTCCTAAATGGATGGTAATGTCATTGTTGTTCAGAACCAGAGGGGCTTCAGAGTATAAGACAAGTGCTGAAATCAGCACCACGGACAGCACCAGGACCTCACCAGTCTCGAACACCCACTAGTTCCTCATTCGTGTTAGTGCCTCTGTCATGACACAGCACGGGGTGACTACTGTTGGCCCCATACATATGTGTGGAAATGGGATTCAGAGGGGCAAATCGCCCCCCGCCCCCCTGGGTCACAATAGTTAACATGAAGAAGAGCCTAGACCTCAATCCAGGGATCAAGGCTGAGAAGACAGTCTCTATATGCATGCATGGGAAGAGAGGAAGGCTCTGTAATGAATCAAATGCACTGGAGGGGAAGATCTGACTTCCCATTTCGCCAACTTATGTGCTGCACTGGTGAGGCCTGGGGCTGTAGGTGGAAGGCAGAGAGCAGGTGCTGACTCAGCCCAGAATCTCCATGCCCGGAGGCCAAGGAGTCCTGCAAGGGAAAGAGCCTGGGATTGTGGAAGTCAAGACCAAACCAACTCTGATGTTCTGACCTGTGGGTTCTGATCCTGCCATCCAGCACCATTTATCTGGACCCATAGGAGGCTGTGCCCTTGTGCTGGGCAGGGAAGTGGAAAGTCAGCGGAACACTTAGGAAAACTGTCTTAATCAATGGACCATGTTCATCCCAGGACCTCTGGTTTTCCTCCTGCAAAATAGGACCATGTTGCAAGAGGCCTTCTAGCCTCAACAAACAACTATGAACCAGAGACACACTATGGGGGGTGGGGGCAGGGAAAGGAGGGATTGGGGTCAAAATAAGGGGGTTGCAATTGTATGGGGAATATAAAAATAAAATTTTTTAAAAAGAGGCCTTCTAGCCTGACCTGGAATGGTCTCTGGGATAACTTCCCCCACAATTCCCAATTTCATCACTTCAACCCAAATCCATAAAAGGAACCATACTGGGGACCCTGAGCATCCCATTTTCCCAGACTGCTTAGGGAGTTGGGGAGCTGAATTTTTAACGCTAAGAGTTCTTATGGAACCTAATTGTCTGCACAGCTTGTGTTGGGCAGTGGGCAGGGGGGAGTGGAGCTGACAATGTTCCCATCAACACCTCTTTAGAGGGCTCACCTGTCCACTTCCACATTCCTGTGCCTCAGAACCACAATGACAGTCATGTGACACTGTTTGAGGAGGACAACTTCCGGGGTTGCAAGTCTGAACTCAGTGATGACTACCCATCCCTGTCCTCCATGTGCTGGACCCACAAGGATGTGGGTTCCCTAAAAGTCAGCTCTAGCACGTGATTCCTGGGGTAAGAACAGAGGAAATGAAAAGAGCAGGAAGGCATTGGAGACCAGGGAGGAGAGTAGGGACCATGGCCAAGAGCCATGGTGATGAGAGACAGCCCCCTGGAGAAAGGGGAAGTGAGGTGATGGAGACAGACTGGGAAGGAGACTGGGTGCAGGTAATGGGAGAAAATTAGTGAGGGGGACAATATGGGATAGAGAGGGAGACTGAAAGCATGAATGGGGAGGCAGTGGAGGGTGGGAATAGGAAATGAGGAGGCTAGGAAGGTGACAGGAAGACCAGGAGCAATGAGCAGGCAGGGAGAGATCCAAGTACAGAAACCTGAAGAATGGTTTTGGAGTTGGGGGTTGGGGTCTGAGCAAGAGGACAGTCACTAGTGGAGGACATAGGTGAGGGTGAGGGCAGAGTCTACTTACCATCCCTGTACCCTCGTTGGCCTGGGGGGGGTGGCCTATCAGTACCCAGGCTACCAGGGCTACCAGTATGTACTGGAGCAGGACCAGCACTGTAGGGAGTTCTGTACAGTAGATTTGGCACACAGGCCCACAATAGTCAGCACTACACCCTGCAGCACCAGCACCTCCCCTGGAGATGCTAATAAATGTCCCTTGAACTTGCCTGTCCCTCTACCTTCTTCTCAGTGTCTTGCTTTATGATCCCCTTTCTTATCTTTCAGATGATCCCTCCCTGCCAACTTGACCCATCCCTCAAGCTCTAGGACCTTACTGCAGAATAGAAACTTGCTTAGGGTGTCTGACGCTAGCCTGATGGGGTTGAGAAAAAAACTCCTGGTAAAAAAAACAAAAAACAAAAAAAGAAAACAACCTCCTGGGGATCCTGCTCGGTACTACCAGTACATTCATTCCCTGTCCTTGGTAAAAGCCAGCAGCTCAGGATAAGGGTACCAAGGGCAGCTTTGCCATCCTCTGATTGGAATGCTCACCCCCATATGCGCCCTGGCTCATAGCTGAATTTCAGCCTAGAAACGCGCATGCGCGCGCGTGCACACACACACACACACACACACACACACACACACACAACCAGGTACCACCATGCAGGGCAAGATCTTTTTAACTCTTGCAAGAGCTCTGTTGACTCCTCTCCCACCCCCAGGGCATTTCTAGTTTTTGTCTTCACCCGGGCTCCCTATCCAGCCCAGGGCCTGCCTTACAGAAGAAGAAGGGAGTGGGTGGAGCAATTCCCATGCCTCCCCAGGCCTGTAAGGGGGAGACTGCCTCTCTGAGTCCAATGCCCTACCCCACCCTTTGAATAATAAAAATCCTTTACCTGGTATTGAGCTCCGCGTTTACAAACATTTCACTCTCCTCTTCTCAGCTTCCTTCTTCCTCCCTCCTCCCTCCTCAAGGCCTGATGAGGTGGAGTGGCCACCCTTCAGCCACCGCCCACAGTGAGCTGGGTTCTAGGGTGGCATGGCAGGGAGGAGTGTGGTAGCAGCCATCAGAGCCCCTGGCACCAGTATCATTTCTCTTCAGTTCCCTCTGTGGGCCAGGTAATGATGCCCCCAATCTTCCTTAGACAGGGTCTCCTTGGGACTCCCCTCATCCTACCCCTTAGGGATGCTTGTATTTTCAAGCCCTTTTGGATCTATGGATGGGGAACAGTGGTCCTGATCACTGCCCCCCCCAGCCCAGGAAAGCAGGCAGGCAATGCTGAACAGTCAGGCATGGAGCTGGGCAGTCCCCAGGGGCCCAATTGTGCAAAATCAGGCACCTGCTTCCTTGAGAAAATCCCTGGGATCCAGGTGCATGGCATTCCTGAGTGTCTCAAGTCTCCTGCCTATAAACTGGGGTGACTGATTCCTTCCTTATCTTTTTTTAAGATTTATTTATTTAGGCATACAAGAACTGGGGTGCAGGCCAGAGGTGTGTGGGGGGGGGCAGGTGAGAGGATTCACCAGAGACAGAGTGGAGAGCAGAATAGGCAGATCTACTGAAATACACTGCTGAGGGGAGCAGCAGGTGAGTCAGGAGAGGTCTGCTGCACCCTGTGAGTATCTCCCTGGCTGGGAATCGAACTCGTGCTGCAGTGGCTGTGGATAGCTCCAGAGTGCCGCGTCTTAACCCCTTGTGCCACCAGGGAGGCTCTCCTTCCTTATCTTTCTCACAGAGTTATTGAGAGGATTCAATGAGAACCTCCTAAACATGCTTGTGATGTTATGGAAAAGCACTGGGCCAGCCAATGTAAGGTCCTCCCTTGCCACCCCCTCCCCATGGACCCCGGCTTTGCACAGGAGACCAAGGACCAGAGCTCCAGGTAAGGTGTGAATTCTGCTCTTACCTGGCTGGGTTCTAAGGTTTATGGTCCCTGTTGCATTTGACCGTCCTAGCACCTTCCACACTTCATCCATTCCACCAAAGAAGAAACTGGCGTTTTGAGAGGAAGAAGCCCTGATGAGGTCACTCACTTGGTGATGAAGTCAGAGTTCCTGACCCCAAGTCATACTGTGAAGTGGAAGCTGAACTGAGTTGAAGCTAAAAGCCTCAGATCTTAGCAGAGCCCTGAACCTTATGGGCTCCTGGCCTTTCTGGCTGATCACTGACCCCTAAGTGTCCCGTGGGAAATAGGAATGACAGCTGCATGTACAGAGGCTTGTCCGAGGACCCAGCATAGGTCATAGGAGCCTCATCGTTCTATATGGCGTGTAACCCCATTTTACAGATGAAGAGATGAACCTCTCATCTTTGACCCCACACCTGCCTTTCCCGGGATCCCAGGCCTCAGGGGCAGCGCTGGGGCATCTCCTACCGCAACTTGTAAAGGACCTCCCCGCTCCCCCTAGGGAGAATAGGGTTCTCTGGGTTCCTGGGGTCTCCTCCTAGAGTCAGGACTCAGCCCTCCTCCTAGAGTCCTTCAGACTTTTGCACCCCCCTCCCCAGCAAGGAGGAAGGAACACTCAGTTACAGAAGGAGAAACAAACAGGGTCCCCTGCCGCAGCCGAGCCCCGTAGTCAGATTCCCCAGCGTCCTCTGCCAGGGCCCCGGAGCAGGGATCCTGCGGAGAATGTGGCCTCCCATCCGCTGCCCCATAGCCCAGGCCTCCTCAACCCCTGGGCTCAAGCAGTGAGACAGGCTTTGAGATGCCCAATTCTGACTGTAGCCACTGGGCGCTGCATGGTTATGGAAAGTGGGTTCTTGACCCAGAACCCCGTCCTCAGCCAGCATCCTGCTTTCTCTGGCCTCTGCAGAGCCAGAAAGCCCCCCCACCCCAGTACCCAGAGACCCTAAGCCACCCAGGAAACCGCATCCATTGTGTAACAAGACAGTGTCTCGGCGGGGTTTAAGCAAAGGTGCCCCGGGGCCTCACAGCAGCCGGGTTTGGGGTAACCGGGATGGGAGGGGCTGTGAGATGGAGGGTGCGCCGGGCCGGGAGGGGGGCAGCCAGCCCCGGCAAGACAGCAACCCCGAGCGCGGACCGGGAGAGAAAGGAGACGGGGACAGAAGACCGGGGAGATGGGGGCCGGGGGACGGGGCCTCGCGAGAGGGGGAGGCTCTGTGGAAGTGGCCGGGGAGAGGCCCCGGCGCTGCCCCCGGGGCCCGGGATCCCGGGAACCGCAGGGCCCCGGCCAGGGCCAGGGGGGCGGGGAAGGAGGCCGGGTCTCCAGGGCCGCGGGGAGCGGGCGAGGAGGAAGCGGGAGAAGGGGGGCGCCGCGCGGAGATAAAGGGAGCAACGGCTGCCGGGCCGGGCGCGCAGCGACAGGCGAGAGGGAGGGAAGCGGAAATTTAAAAGTGAAGATGCAGATAACGCAGCCTGGAGACGGGCACCCGGGCTGGGGATGGGGAGCGCGGGGGGAGGGGGAGGAGAGAGAAGCAGCGAGGGGGGCGGGCGAGTGCGGAAAGGGGGGGCGCTGTGGCCCCGGGGCCCGCGGTGGGGCCCGGCGCCCGCCCCGTCGCCGTTCGCCGAGAGCCGGGGAGGCGGAAAAGTCACGCTCTCCCGACCCGACCCGACCCCAGCGGGGGCCCAGCCCATCCCCCGCGCGTCTCCACGGCGGCGGGGCGCGGGGGGCTGCCGGGTGCGCTTGGCTGCCACACGGCGCGTTAGACTTTATTGCGATGGGGCGATAAGAGGGGCGGGGGCCGGGCCGGGGCCGAGGCGGCGGTGCTGTAATTAAAACGGAAATTGCGGCCCCTGCCCGCGCGGGGGCCGGAGGGTTCCCGGCAGCCCGTAGCTGGGAGCGCAGCTCCAGGACACCCCCCGCTCGCGCCCCCCCCCCACCACACCCAGGCTGCCCCCTCCCGCCAGGCCTGCCGGACCCGGCGCGTCTTCTCCCTGCCACCCGCGGTCGCCTCGGGCGGGGATCGGTGCCCCGGAGCGCAAAGCCTGACGCGCCCCCCTTTCTCGTCCCCCACCCCCGCCGCCCAGTCCCCGGCGGCGATGAGACAGAGCGGCGCCTCCCAGCCCCTGCTGATCAACATGTACCTGCCAGGTACCGGGGACCAGCCGGGAGCTGGAGGCACCCGGGCCCGGGGCGGGCAGTCAGGGCTCAGGCTTGGGAAGGGGGTGCAGGGGCCCAAGGGAAGGGGGGCGCGGCCCAGAGACTCGAATTGTTGGGAGCACTGAGCAGTCGGGGCACTAGGGAACCTCAAAGGCAGATGCAGAGCTCTGAGATGTTAGTGTGGGGTCCAGGGGACTCGAAGTGAGCAGGCTGGGGACCCGGGGGCCGGGCGCAGGCTCAGGGGCGGCGAGCCCCGGCGCAGGCTCCGTGGTCGGCGGGCGGCGCGGTGCGCGGGCCGTGCCGGGAGGCCGGGTCCGCGGGCGTCGCCCGGCGCCCTCGTGGCTCCTCACCTCGGTGCGCCGAGTGTGGCTACGGCCCCAGCCCTCGCGGCGCCGGCCTCTGCTCTCCGACGGGCTCCGCACGATCCGGCTCGGCTGGCGCAAAACTCGCTCGGCTTTATAAGGCTCCCGCCGGCCCGTTCGGAAAGCGGATTTCCTTTTTCCTGGACGCGTTTCCTGACTCGGGCGTTCTGGAGGGGCTCTGCGCCGCGCGCTCCGGGCTTAGGCTCCAGGAGGAGGAGCCGCGATTCGGGGCCCCAGTCTCACGCCCGGGAACCCAGGCACTCCCACCCGCCTCGAGCCTTGTCCCGGGGCCCCTCGCGTCAAGCCCACGACCTCCTGCCCGGGCCGCCTGACTGTTTTCTCCTGCTGCTGCAGATCCCGTCGGAGACGGTCTCTTCAAGGAAGGGAAGAGCCCTGGTTGGGGGCCGCTGAGTCCCGCGGTACAGAAAGGTGAGCTGGCCAGCGCAGCGGACGGGTGGAGCCAAGGACAATGGATAGGGTCTGAGGGACCCGTCCAGAAGGACAGGTGACAACCATCTCTCGGATAGAGGGTCCAGGGCATGATTGTGTGGGAAACTGGGGGTAAATTTTGCTTGGTGTTGCTTCCTGCATTTTCCAAGTCCTGGGGCTGGACTTGCAGGACAGGCCAGATGGAGAGGCTCCTAGACCCTGGTCCCTAGGGACTGCAAATAGTGCTCATGCTGTGGGCTCCGGGCTGAGACCCTGGCAGCAGGAGTGAGAGGCCGCAGCACTGCCCAGTATGTGGACAGGAAAATTACACCCTGGCCACTCCTGTCTGGGTCATCACTAGCACCAGGGCCAGTGCCCTGCCCCGCTAGTCCCTCACTGACCCCCCTCCCAAGTCTGCTGGGTCAGTGCAGTTGCTTCCAGGCTCTCCACCGCTGCACCGCAGGTGGGTAAATTATTCTAGGCACTGCCCTGTTGACTGAATCCTAGCTGGCTTTCCAGGCAAAACCTCCCCACAGCCCATGATCCCGTTGGTATCCTAGACCTCACCAAGTTACAGAAACCACAAAATACAAAGTCGGTGATTGCTTTATCCAAAAGGAAATACAAAGTCAAACAGGAACAGATTTCCAAGCCACTGAGGTCGCCCAGCCATAAGTGCCACTGCACATTTTTCATCCAAACTGTCCCTTGCTTCTGACCCTAAAATTCGATCTTCCTCACTTGGAGCCGGACAGTGCCTTGCTGGACTGGTGTGGAGTTGGGGGTGAAATTAGAGTGGAGGGCTGTGTCTGGTTCTGAGTAGTTGAAAAAGGGAGAAAGCTTCACTAGGTTTGAAGCAATACTCAGATGTCTTTAAAGAAAATCCATCTTATTCTAAAAGAGTTGTGGAAATAATTGTATCAAGATTTTTCTCAACATCTGACGCTTCAAGATGGGGGAGAAGGTGTTCTGAGGTGGAGGGGTCCCACTTTCAGCACCTGCACATTCTGGGAAAAATCTTTTGCTTCCAGCAATCCCTAAATCAGGAGGGGCAAAGAACTGGTAGTCAGACCAAAGAAGTGGGGAGGCAGGGAACCAGGCACAGCGGTTTCCAGGGCGCACCTCCATTCTCAGAGCCGTGCACCAAGCCCCTAGGAAACAGGACACCTTCTCGCTCCAGGAAACCCGTCTGTTCCGAAGGGGGGAAAAAAAAAAAAGGCAGAACTGGTGTAGAGCCGGCTCAGCGCTCCAAATCGCCAGGCAGAGGTGGGTAGGGAACACAGGGCTTGCCCCTCCTCTCACTCACAGGGCCTCGGGCTTCCCTTCCCATCCTGTGTGCCAGCCACCACCTCTGCTCCATCTCAGGTGGGGCTGGTGCACCTGTACGCCTTTGGGGCTGTGTCTTCCCAGTGGGCAGGTGGTCTTGCTGTGCACGCCTGCCTTCCCCTGGACCTTCTGGATGTGGTCCAGCTGGGAAGGGGCAGTCCAGCCACCTGGGCTGGGCAGTCAGTGCAGTTGTGGTGCAGGTTGTCTGAATAAGGGCGCCTCCCTCCCCCATTCTCACAAAGCCCGGCAGCGGAGGAGCCAAGCCGTCCTAAGCGGGAAGGTCTTTGCATTGGGCAAAGCGCGGTAAAGGCCAGGGGCTGCTCTGCCCACCGACTCCTCCCTGGCCCGCCGCCCCAGCGGTGCCCAGCTGCGCGGCTGGACCAGCCTTTTCCCTCTTGGACACCGGCTCCGTCTCCTGCCTCCCCTCTCCCCCACCCCCAGCCTCCCCGCCCTGGCTGACCGCCCTCCCTCCCACAGGCAGCGGGCAGATCCAGCTGTGGCAGTTCCTGCTGGAGCTGCTGGCCGACCGCGCCAACGCCGGCTGCATCGCGTGGGAGGGCGGCCACGGCGAGTTCAAGCTCACCGACCCCGACGAGGTGGCGCGGCGCTGGGGCGAGCGCAAGAGCAAGCCCAACATGAACTACGACAAGCTCAGCCGCGCGCTGCGCTACTACTACGACAAGAACATCATGAGCAAGGTGCACGGCAAGCGCTACGCCTACCGCTTCGACTTCCAGGGCCTGGCGCAGGCCTGCCAGCCGCCCCCCGCGCACGCCCACGCCGCCGCGGCCGCGGCCGCCGCGGCAGCCGCCCAGGACGGCGCGCTCTACAAGCTGCCCGCCGGCCTGGCCCCGCTGCCCTTCCCCGGCCTCTCCAAGCTCAACCTCATGGCCGCCTCGGCGGGCGTCGCGCCCGCCGGCTTCTCCTACTGGCCCGGCCCGGGCCCCGCCGCCACGGCGGCCGCCACCGCTGCGCTGTACCCCAGCCCCGGCTTGCAGCCCCCGCCCGGGCCTTTCGGCGCCGTGGCCGCCGCCTCGCACTTGGGGGTCACTACCACTAGACGGGCGGCCCCGACCCCAGACGGAACCCGGCCCCGGCCTGCGCGCGTCCGGAGAGCGGGCCGAGCCGCCCCCACCGGTTCTTTGACCTCGGATTCTGCTCCCCCGCGGCGCCCAGCCCGGGGGGGAGGGTCATAAGTCCCCTCAATCTTCCAGGAACCCCGACTTTGGCCTGCCTCGTCCCCCTCAGCCGCGGGGGAGGGTGAGTGGCCTCCCTTCCCAGCCCCGCGTCCTTGAATCTCCATTTTCTTCCAGACCCCAGATGCCCGGCCCGCCCTGTCTCCCCGCCCGGCCACCTGTGCGCGGGCCTGGCTCCCGCAGGCCGCCGCCCGCGCTCTCTGCCCCTGTCTTTCGAATTCCAGATCTTTTCTCACTCTCGGTCTCCCTCGCGGGTGCCCCGCCCAGCGCGCTGGCGCCGCACACCGCACAGCTGCGCCCCCGGGAGCCCCGCGGGCGCGCCCAGGGCCTCTGCCCTCCGGCCTCGACGCGCTTCGCCCACAGCCTCCCTCCCACCCCAGCCCCTCGCAGCACGGCCTGGTGTATATTCACGTCCTTTCAGAGCCATTAAAGCTGCCAAATTCCCGCTGCCTCCTCTTTGGGTTCTTTGCTGCTCTAGAACCTTTGGTGGGGGGCGGAGGGGGCGAGGGAGTTGCCCGGCTCGGGCCGGAGCAGAGAGGCTGCCAAGGAAGCGCGGAGAGAGGAGGGCGCTGGGGGCTCGCACCCGAGCGGAGTCGGGAGGCCCCGGGGGGGCGGGCTCAGCCCCGAGGGAGAGGCCCAGCTGCAGCCCCCGGGCGCCCAATCGCGCGGCGCCTTCCGCCCACAGCTCCCCCCGCGCCCCCGTGGCCCGCACCTGCCTCCCCCTCCCCCGTCGCACCCGGGCCGCTCACCCACCCCACCCGTCTCCGCTCCGCGCTCCCGCACCCTCTTCTGCGCCTCCCCCACCCACCTCCCTCCCGCGCATCCCAGCTTCGCTCTGCTGTTCTCTCGCCACACTCACCAACTGCCCCGCCCCCACGTTATTAAGATTTTCAAAAGAGGGAACCCTCCCAGCCCCCCCACACCCCACCCGGGCCCCTCCCGTGGCGCCTGGGGCCGGAGCTCCCCGTCCGGGCTCGGGGCGGCCCCTCCTTCTGCGGGTGGCGCGCGCCCTCTGCTGGCGGGAGGAGGCCAGCCCGGGCCGGGCTTCACACCCACGACGCGCACGGCGGCGGGGCACTGCAGGAGTGCATGGACGGAAGCTTGCAGGCTTGCTTTGGCCTTCAGAGGACGGGTGAAAGCAATAAGCCCGGCCTTGCATCTGGCCTGGCTTCGGGGACTCGGGGAACTGGGCCAAGTAGGTGCTTCTCAGGCTGGGCCCTGTGGGTTCCCACCTGTTCCGCATGCTGTGCCCGTGGGGGTCCCGTCGTGTCATCCTATGCGCTCCCCAAGCCTCCCGCGAAACCGCTGGCCCAGACGGCCTCAAGCAAGTTCCCTGACGCGGAAACGACACGTGTCGAGGGGGAGGGAAGAGAAGGTGCCTGAAGTGGTAGCGGAAATGAGAGCTGCACACCCAGGCACGCCTCAGGCGCGTTCTCCCCCCATAAGTCTTGGGGGGAAAGGGGTTCTTCCTGCACCAAAGCCTCTTCCCTTGTTGGTGGGAGAATGCGCCGTGGAGACTGCCCTGCGCACTGTGGGGAGGTGCAGGTGGAAAGCAGGACAGAAATGTGACTGCGGAGCCTGACTGCCCCTTCCCAAGGAGTGCTGAGGAGTTTATCCAGGCCCCAACAGGGAAGAGTCTTTATTCCTTTTCATTTGGGTTTCACTTTATTTTTTTTCTTTTTTCATCTAATGCACACTCAGTAGAGAACATTTGGAAAACACACCTATAAGGCCTCCATTAAATATTAGCGGGATAAAAAGTGTATGGGGAAATCACCCATAGTCCCATTATAATCTCCTGCCTTTCCCCTGTGCTTCAGTCACGTAACCTTCTGACACAAGCGCGCTGCAAGCCATTATGCCCCATAGACCTTGAGTCCCATGCATTCCAGGGCGAGGCCCATGTATTCCACCGAGCAGGGGAGTCAGGAGAGGAGTCCAATCCAGTGAAGATCTCAGGGACTGGGAAGGAGAAGTAAAGGGTATCTATGAAAGGGGCAGGAAGCTGGGAGGCCAAAGGAATGCCCTGGAGAGACAGAATCAGGATTCAGAAAGATCTAGGCAGCTAACTACTACAGACTGAACATAACAGGTGAAATTTCCTGGCAAAGATTGTGATGCCCTATCGTTAGATCTTTATTTTTTTTAAGATTTATTTATTTATGCCTAGAAGAGCTGGGGTACAGGCCAGAGGTGTGGGGGGTGAGAGGATTCACCAGAGACAGAATGGGGAACAGAACAGACAGATTGACCAAAGTACACTGCTGGGGGGAGCAGGGGGCGAGTCAGGAGAGGTCTGCTGTGCCGTGTGGGTAGCTCCCTGGCCAGCCAGGGTGATCAAACTCATGCTGCAGAGGCTGCGGACGGCTTCATAAGTTGCGTCTTAACCCCTTGTGCCACCAGGGAGGCCCTTCCTTAGATCTTTAAATGAAATGACAGTGGCCTCCCTGGTGGCACAAGGGGTTAAGCATAGATAACATTATGAAGCAATCCTCAGCCACTATAGCACAAGTTTGATCCCTGGCCAGGGAGCTACACACATGGTGCAGCAGACCTCTCCTCTGTCTCGCCTGCTGCTCCCCTCAGCAGTGTATTTCAGGCAACCTGCCTGTTCTGTTCCCCACTCTGTCTCTGATGAATCCTCTCACTACCCCCACCTCTGGCCTGTACCCCAGTTCTTGTATGCCGAAATAAATAATTCTTTTAAAAAATAAGTATCTTGGTACATACAACAGTGTTTTCTACTATTAGACAAACAAAAACAGCCCCTAGAGCAAGCTTTGCCTCTTTACTCTCTAGCCCCATTCAGATGCCTCCTATGTACCCTGGGAAGGAACTAGAATGATCACACCTACTTTTCCAGGCCAGTTCTGGGCCCACCTGTTCAACTTTGCCAAGAACAACCCTGCTGACTGGCCAGCCTCCCATACTCAGGCCGCTATGTATTAACAAGAGAAGGTGCTGAATTTAGAATTATAGGATCTCAGATAATTACCAAATGTGTGACTTTGGGAATAGCACATCATTGGGGGCCTAGTTTTCTCCTCTAAAATGTGGATAATAGTAATGCTTACTTCCTATGGTTATTGTGGGAATGAAATAAAAATAATATTAACAATCGTACTTAACATACTTCTCACACTCAGTAATACCCCACTATTATCCTATATATGATTTTTCTCAAAGTGGTAGACATGGCCCCTCTCCCCCTAGGCTGCATGCTTCTCATTTCTTATAGCACAGCTGCCATCGGGAAGGGGTTTGGTAAACTCTGTAGCTGCCACCAGAAGCTGCTTTTCCAGCTCTCCTGGCATCTCCATAGGGCTTTCTGACTTGTTTTTTTGTCAGCAAAGTGTGGATGGAAACAATAACCTGTGTTGTCTCCAAGCCAAAGCATTTAGAAGAGGATGTGCCTCCTCCATGCTGTTCCCTTTCTGTTCTTGAATCCAGAGAGGCACTGATTCCAAAGCAAAGGCAGAGCTGCATACGAAAGGTTACTGTAACTTACACCCTCACATGGAGAGAAGGCACCCACCAGTGTGCACTGGACTATTGAATGGTATTTGGAGGTTTTCTTGTTACAGCAATTTATATTACCATTAGCGATGCCACCCAAATCACGCTCAATCTTGCCAACGATCCTCTGAAGTAGACATTATGATTTTCTCCCATTTTATATATGAGGAAACTGAGGCACAAAGGGGTTACATTTTTAAAAGATTTATTTATTTATGCATACAAGAGCAGGGGTACAGGCCAGAGGTGTGGGGCATGAGAGAATTCACCAGAGAAGAGTGGGGAACAGAACAGGCAAATTGAAATACACTGCTGAGGGGAGCAGCGGGCAAGTCAGGAGAGGTCTGCTGCACCATATGGGTCTCCTCCCTGGCCAGGGATCAAACTCGTGCTTTAGTGGCTGTGGATAACTTCATAGGCTATCCTTGTGCCGCCAGGGAGGCCCACAAAGGGGTTACATTTTTTTAAAGATTTATTTATTCATACAAGAACTGGGGTACAGGCCAGAGGTGCAGGGGATGAGAGGATCCACCAGAGACAGACTGAGGAACAGAACAGGCAGATTGACTGAAATACACTGCTGAGGGGAGCAGCGGGCAAGACAGGAGAGGTCTGCTGCGCTATGTGGGTCACCTCCCTGGCTGGCGGGGGATCAAACTCGTGCTGCAGAGGCTATGGATAGCTTCACAGTGCTGTGCCCAACCCCTTGCACCACGAGGGTGGCCCTACACAGGGGTGACATTTATATGAATCCCAGCACTGAGGGCTGCTCCCTAAGCGTCCTTCCCCCGGCATTGACAAACTCACGTCAGAGACCTGGTGCAAACGCAAACCATTTCTCACCAGTATAATTCTCTACCTCTGCACCCCAACTGTCTTCCACGAGTCAGAGAAGCTCCTCTCTTGAGATGGGGAAGAAGGATAAAGCTAAAGGAGACTGGAAGGCCAGACCCTGAGCGTGTGGTTCCTTTTCCTGGAAGAGGCCAAGTTGCTTAGCAACACAGCAGGAGGTTGTCAGGGAGGCTCCAGGCAGTGCAGTCCTTTTTTTGTAATCTCGCAGCCTGGATGGATCTGGGGTGACACCAGGTGGGGAAATAGGAAATTCAGAGACGGTCTGATGGTAACATTTGGGTCACAGCCTCCTTTCCTAGGATCACCTTCTTAATCTCCCGGCCCTCTCCTCTTGGTTTCCTGCCTTTGACACACCTTGGCAGAAAGACAGCTTCTAGGGGACACTCGTGACCACACACCGAGGGCCAGGCCAGGTCCAGACTGCTTTATGTGTGTGCTGTGTGCTGTGCTGGACAGCCTGCAAAGCACATCGATAGACATAGATTTACCTGCGACTTTCAACGGCCTCTTTAACAGCAGGGTGGTTATCCTTCCTGTATGACAGAGGACACATGAGGAGGGAAAGTCTCAAGGTCCCCTAGTGAGCCTATCACAGGGCCCCGGTTTGCCACAGACCTCAGGAATTTTCCACC